GCCCCTCCCCCCCAGCCCCGACGCCAGGGTGAACTCGCTTGAATTTCATCGCGCGGCTACATTCTAATTTACGTTTAACAGGCTATTAAAGTTTATATGCATTCGCCGGTGGGAATCTGGGCTGAAGTTGAATCGTAATACGAATACTATAGGGATGTTTGGTAGGGTGATCACTGAACCCAGCATCAAAGAGTATATGCGTTTATACCGGATTGCTCGCGCTCGCGACTGTATTTGCGCTTTGTGCGAAATATTCGCAAGCGAGCGATCGCACGCGTACACACGCATGCATGGCTACGCACCCCTCGCGCGTCCTCTCTCTCTCTCTCTCTCTCTCTCTCTCTCTCTCTCTCTCTCGGTCTCTGGTCGGCGGTGAAATTTTTCGATTTTCCCCGGCAATCGTCGCGTGCTGCGGAAAATATTGTAGTGGAAATTGCGACGGAATTGTTGGTAATCTTGGGTCATGCAGAAATTATGAGCGAAATATCACTGCATAATTTGTTTAAATTGTTACGCACGTCTGACATTTTACTGAAAAACTGTCTTTTTTCAGGTCGTTTATTCCATCGATGAACGAGGCAACTAATTGATCCCGCTTAGCAGAGCAAGATGACCACGCTGCTGCATGTTTGTATTGATCCAGAGAATCGTGACGTGCATCAATCGTAGAAAAAGGCTATCTCTATCATCTATGTATAGTCAGTCATAACGACAATCTAAGAAGTTGTAATTTCGAGATTCTAAGGTATGTGATATCTAGCCTCCCTATATGGGACATCTAGCACCCTAGTCTCCCCTATAAGAGACGTTACAGTATGGCAGATTTTGCGGCATATCAATGGGCAAAATTATTTACCCGTCGAGCGAGAATAAACGCGGCAAATAAACGAACATAATAACGAGGAGCGACAACGAACGCGCGCTCTCTTGCTCCTCCGAACGCATGAATTATCAATGCAAATTTTCATGTTGCGACGAGCGCGCCGCGCAAACAAACCAACACGCGTCTCGACAAAAGATATTAGTGCGACAGATATTTCTCGATCGGAGAGATATTGTTATTAATCGAATTGCCGCGTAACACGCCGTATCAGCCGGCGTAATCCGCGCGTTCCCTCGCCTCGTCTCCCCCGCGATTCCAAGCGCAGAAGAATTATACGCGGCAATTTTACCCGGATCAAAATTCGGAACCTCCGTTTCTGGCAGTATTCAATAATCTCCCATGCATATTTCACCGCACGCGCCGTCGAATCTCTAAACGAACTGTAGCATATGACAGAATACGCGGGCGTGCGTGTGTTTAAAGCGGATTTGTCTCGGGTATGATGAAACATGCAATATGTACGCGGGCGTGGACGCGGCGTGTGTCGTCGTGGATCTCGGAGTTTCCATATTTTCCGCGTGACGTCATCGCCGATACAATCGTTGTAATACGCGATTACCGATGACGAACGTTTATCCGCGACTGTTCCGCGCCTTTCTTCTTTCCCCTTCTCTTTTTCTCCCTGCCGTGTCTTCCTCTCATATTACCGGATATCTCTCGCCCCGGTAATGGACATTATCGTTGATTTTACATCCGAGGCATCGAACATCATCCCCTGTCCCTCCTTTCATCCTCCGCGAAGAGTATGTGTTGTAACTCGAACACGCGATAAAAGTGCGACACGTGTGTGGCTGTATGCAAATCACCGTCGACCATCATAATCCTATCGGATCATCGGATCGACCACGTGGGAAGAGGGAGGAGACGCTGCGCGCGCGAGAGCGAGCCCGCGATTTGTGGCCGAACGGAAATTACCAGGACGGATCGAATTATAACTCTTCGTGAGCGCGAGGAATCCACTTGGCGGGGCCGTGCCCGCGAACTCATTTCCGCGACTGCAACGTGCAAGCTGAGCTGAATCACGGATATGGCGAATGATGCGAAAAGTTTCGCTAGCTGCCTCTCAAGGAGCATCCGGGAATTGTTTTTCCACCATCAAGTATCTCTCCCGTTCGAATTTTCCGCCGCTTCCCCCTCGCTAAGTTTCGCGAGCAAAAGTTGAAATTACGAAACACGCGGGCGAGAGACGAGGTAGGAGGGTGCTACGTCGCGGGCTATGAAGGCCGTCGTTGCCGTCGCCGAGATCCGCGGCGAGAATTTCGCGCATCCATCCTCCGTCGTGACAGTTACGCTGATATTCGCAACCGACGGCCAATTTATTGCTATTTCGCGCAAACACGGTACCACGGGCGCGCTAATGACTCGTGAAGGAGAGCGAGAAGCTTCCACGACGATCTATGGAAAGACGTGAGATCGCGAGCATCTCTCGCGAATGTTCCTGCGCCCCGACAGGAGAAACAGCTCGAGAAGAAATATTCCCAGGAAAAACTGGTCGATTTTCTACACTGACTAGGATTTATTAAACTATCCGTAATGGAAAGGAAAATACTGGCCAGAAATTATCCAAGGAGAAATGATAATTAAAAATTAAGTTGCAACCATCTCAATAATAAATGAATTTGCACGTGAAAAGACTCTACCTTCTGAAACACAAATTTATTATTTTTGGATTGGATAATGAAATATATTGCATGTATCTTATTACTTTTCACAGCACATACGTGTCAAGAAAGGACAATAATAAAATACCATATTATATAATGTCGAATCGAATAGTGAAAACGATTTAACATAATTTTGTGCAAAAAAACTTGGTTAGAAACTGACTAGTTACTGTTCAATTACTGGCAAAGCGTCGTCTAATACTAGTCAATAACGAAAATCCCCGACCAGTTACTCACTAGAAAAATGTCGCTCTTTCTACTTAGGAGAGCAATAAATGAATCGTCAATGCAAAAGTGACGAAGAAATTCGACAAGCGGAAAAATTGCACGGCGTCGAGCACGTGAAATCAAGGATCATCCCCGCAGCGTCCCGCCTCTGAGCGGTCCAATAAAATCGCAATAATCATCACGTCAAAACCGTCGCGCGCTCCCGCTGATATCAACGTTTTCAGCGCTTGAATTCCAACCGGGCGACGTATGTCGCTCTGTAACGTGTGCATGAATTCCCCATTGAGATTCGTCGGATTCCTCGCGAAATAACGCGGCTAATAGCCGACTCAACGCGATCATCGCAAGCGAGACCGCGGTGGCAGATATCAAACTGCCGGAATTGCCGTTCCACGGTGTATTGATATTCAACGGGCGTCTGCCTGATAAAGCGTCGAGTGGAATATTCAATCAAGCGTGGTAGTAGCGAGAAAGGGGGCGACATGAGGGGGGCGAGACGACGATGGTGAGAGGAGGAAGCGCGGATAGTTGGAGGTACAGAGGCAAGGGGGAAGGGAGGGGTTGCATCTTCTGCCGACCAGATGCCGCCGTGCGACGACTAGGCAAAAGAGCGAAAGGAGGGAGAGAGGAGAGAGAGAGAGCGGGTAAGCGAGCGAGAGAAAAAGAGAGATAGACCGATGGTAGTAAAAGGTGGAGGAGGATCACGGGGAACCGTGGATGGCGAGCGAGTGTTGATCGACGCTGCTTGCGCATTCCTGGCGAGGACTAAGGAATAACGTCGCTAAAGCGAAGGTAAACGATTCCTCAAGGCGTCAACGAGTTCGCGAGGGATCTCTCCTCGGCTGGAGAAGTAATTTGATATAGCGGCGCGTGCTCCCCTCTGATCACATGGATTCTTTAAGGTCTCGAGATGTTACCTGTCGTCGCGCGACGGAAATCGCGAGCAGTTTGATGGCGTGCTTCAAGAAGCGTCTTGTCCTTTCGCAGGACGAGAGATCTTGCGCCGCGCTGCGTCTCTCGACAGTTTGTCTATCGTGTGCGCACGCGGTAATTTTCCAACAAAGAGGATTCATGTCGCGCACGTCTTCCCTCTATTACGCGATATTCTTACGACATTAATCAAAGGATTAGATTTGTCAGGAAGTTTGATTCGATTTTTAATAGTGACGTTGTATGCGTGCAATAACAACAGCAATGCTGATAATGTTTGCTGTCAAAACTTTGGCAGGGAATCATAGGCAACTACAGGGACTACTTGCTTGATGAATAATGGGTTTCCATTGAATGCAGTAAAATCAAACTCAATGCAATAGATTGAACCGAATTGTTTGACTAACCTAATACTACACGAAGAGAATATTATAGTTTTTTTTTCATATAAATTTTTTAAAATTTTACTAGTTTCTGATAATGCGGAAATAGTTATAAAGTTATAATATTCCAGGGAGCGTAGTGAATTTTGCTAGAAAAATTGAACATTTTTTTAAAAATACATTTCACAGTTTCTAAAATTTAAATAAAACGTATGAAATGAAAGGATATTAAATTATTGCAACGTCGATTTATTCCGCGGCTATAAAATTCTGCAGTAATTTTTACTACAAAATTCTCTCCGTGTACGAGAAGTGAGGATATTAATTATTTATTTGCTTGACGGTCCGTCGTATTGTTCGAGGGGAGCTTCGTCGGCGTAACGACGAGGAGGCAATACGCTAAATTCCGGTCACGTAAATCAGTAGCGCGAATTTTCGTGTTGCGAGAATAATAACTGTGATTCCCGACGATAAGAGCCGCGGAGTAATTGAATGTGCTAATCTGTGCGCCACTGACCTGGACATCTTTGGTGAACTGGTTGTTGCAGTAGATGTGGACGGCGGAGAATTCGCGTATTTTGTCGAACTCGAACTTGATCTCGACCGGCTGGCTGCGGGTGTCGTTTCGCCAGCCTATCCAGCCCTGAGTGGCGCGATCGTTATCGTAGTATCCCATTTTGAAGTTGTCGGGCCCCGTTTTGCCGTCTGTCAGCTGACCCAGGCCACGGCGCAGCTCGCCGTCCCAGTGGCCGTCGTAGGTCGCATCGAAGAATTCCCATCCGTTGCCCCTTTTATCGCCCTGGGGCATCGAGTAGGACACCACGCCGTCTGCGGCGAAGGGAAACAAGTCAAGATGCTATGTTGACCCTTTATCCGCCTTCACTTCTCCCCCGCCTCCCTCAGCCTCGTTCGACCGTCAGAATGTCTTCGATTTGTTCGCGAACGCGAGTTACAACACGCCGCTGCCAACTGCCACCACTTTACGACGGACGTGCGAGATGTACAAAGATTGCAAATGTGGCGTAATATAAGTTTCACGTCGACGCGAGCGCGTCTCCTAATAAAAGTTTTAACGTTTGCGTTCGGAGAGGATAAGTACACACATGCACGCGCGCTTCATGTTCATACGTATACATGAGCATCAACTCGTTGGGTTTTCATCAATTTGCGAGCAAGCGACGGGAAGCGCTCCAGTTACGAAATTAGTTATATTGACCGTATTAATATTTCACGTCTAATCCGAAAGATACATACGCCGCTACTTGCCATCAACCGGCGTGGGAGGCGCTGTCGCTCGTGCGCAACACGCGACAGATTGAAAATCGCTTTTCTCTTTTTTCCTGGAATTTTCACACGCTCCTCGCGTCTTTTTCCGGTGATTTTTAGAACGGGAGCACACAGAAAAAGTTTAAGCAGAAATAAATTGTCCAAACATACACATACAGAAAAATATGAATATATATCTGCTGGGAAAGGCAATTACTTAGTTTGCTTCTTCTGAGTCATGGTTATCTTCAGTAAAGAATATTTTCTTAACGATAATCTTAAAATATATTTAAAATACAGTCTTCAGATGTATCGAAATCTCTAAAAACATCTCTCATTTTTATGTACTCGAATTCTTTCATTCTTTTTGCAAGAACATTACCAAATATTTATCAAAGAAAATGTTGGTTCAATGTCAATAATCTCTCCATGGTTCTATATAATGAGCAAACTGAATTTCTGTTTTAATTAAATATTCTTCGTTGAAATGTTTGGTTGAAATTTATTAAGAGTCAGAATATATTTATAATAAATCTAATGAATTTATGATAGATTTGCGAATATATAAATTTACGAAACGCTTGAAGCATGTAATATTTATTCGAATGCAGTATATTTTTCTGTGCGCGCAGTCAACGAGTCTCCTTATGATTCAGGAATTATCAATTATAATTTATCAATTTTTTTACTGCTTACATTTTTCTGCGGCACATGTTCAAACGCGCACGAGCTTACGCGAGCGTTTTCGCAACGGCACAACGGTTCAGTGCATGCGTGCTAATGATTCGTCGTGTTTCCGGCATTATGAGGGGAGAGAGTAGAGTAGAGATAACGCCTCCTCTTATTCGGCGCTCGTGGCTAATTCGATTCCCGGGCGAAAACGGAATTATACGAGCAAGATTTTGAAAAGCAAATTTGCTCTGGCCGCGCCGGTATCAGGGTTAATGGACAGTCCGGCGGGTGTACCGGTCCGCGGCAAGTTTCACGAAAATTGGCGAGTGCAAACAGCTTACCGCTCCAGTAACACCCGTAGAGCTCGACCCGCATGCAAACCGTCCGCCTGTGATAGCTGTAGGGCAGAAAACGGATCTTGCTCGCCCACAGAGGCGGCTCCAGCTCGTGCTTGGACTCCAAATACGTGTTCGTGTTACCGGGTATTACCTGAAAGCACAGAAGCGCCGGTTCAAGTACGGGACAATTTCAGTTTTCGGCCCGGTGCGGCGCGATGCGGTGTTTGAGCTTTACCAGAGACCTGGCCAGCGTATGTCTCATTAGCTCTCTTTCGTAGCGCTGTTACATTAACCTCGGACAGTCGGGCCGTGCACCATCTATGCACACGCCGTTTCGCTGTTTTCTCGTGTTTTTTTGGTACGAGGATTATCGGACGATACTGACGCAAGCGGGGACGCGAGCGCGAAATCTAGAATTCGAGTGCTTCTTCATGAAGTTAGATTCAGAGTAGAGTATTCACATTCATATAGGGGTTACGATTTCATCCGGAATTGAAGAGTGAATCTGATATGATCTTGAAATCCCTTCAAGTGAAATTTTACTCGAAGAGTAGACTATAATATCAGCCCAGTCATTCACATTCGAGTAACTCTGTAGTCATATAGAACAAATTCTCCACTCTGAATCGTCGAGTGAATATTTTTTTCGTAATTAAACTGTAAATTCAATGTACCTGGTTATCTCACGGGAACGAATTTACTCGAATCGATTAAAACATTCATTTGTTGCAGATGAAGAATGCATCTTTAAGTTAAGAATCTTATGTTAAGAACCTTAAGTTAAAAATCTCAAAAGTCTCAGTTACACATTTATGCTGCAACTTTGAATGTCAAAATATGTCCACTATCGTCTCGAGTGATTTTCCATTCGATTTGAATGGGATTTCACTTCAGGAAATTTAGTTTGCATGTGATATAAATTACGAGTCAAAGCACAATATATTAAATTTAATATTTTTTAGGTTTTTTCTAAAGAGATAATTGCAAGATTTTATGTGTCTAAAGAATATTAAATTTAACGCAATTATACATTTAAAGAGCAATATATTAATTTTTGCAAAAATTTTTCAACGTTCTTAACAATACTTTCTCTTTTACACGACAGTTATAACATTGTTTTCTTTTTTCAGAAGTAATGCCCGGGTTTGAGATGATCTCTAAACCATTGGCACCGTCACTTGGCTCGTCGATCGTGGGAAAACTGTCGCAAGATCAGTGGTGCGAAACAACGAAGCGTATATATGTGACAACAGGATATCCGGAGATAAGGATTTTTCTGATGCAGTTGCCGAATGCAGCTCGAACACGGTACTCTCATATATGTACGTAAAAGCGACTAGCAACCCCTGTTATTGACAAATTGTCGCGGATATACACTCCCGGTGGAAGGACAGTTACTACAACAGTTTTTCGCGGATCTCGATATCGCGAATTCACCCACGACGTGTATGTCTCGCGCGCAGTGCAGCGAGGGAGACATCAATCCCTCTCGCCCCTTGGCAGGTCGCAAAAAGCGTCCGAAAGCGCGTTACTCTTTCTCGTTGCGATCGTCCCGACGTTGCTCGATGACATTTATATCGGCCGGACAATGCCTACGCTTCAGCACGCGAAATACCGCCGTCGTCCCGTATCCTCCACCTCCTCCTCGCCCCTGTTTACCCGGCCCTGACTGTCCCATTGGGTATGTCCTGTCACAGAATGGACATCGCGTTCCACGGGATCAGACCGGGGGCTAAGGACTAATTTCACCCTACATTCCACCGCGTTAGGTCCGACAGAGAGGCAGCGGGTGCAGACAGAAGCCTCGAGCCGAGTTGGGACAGACGGACGGACGCATAGAGATGAAGCGAGAGTGGGGAGTAAGGGAGAGAAGCAAGAGCTCGCGGCAGGGTAACGCGAGGGTAACACGAGGATAACAGGGGGTAGGGAACAAGCAAGTTAGAGAGAGCGAGAGAGAGAGGGTTCAGTTAAACGTTTGCCGCCCGCATTCCCTGATCCTCCCCCGGTCGACGTCGACGTCGTCGTCTCGGTAGCGGCAAACGTGTTGCCGTCGTTGACGACGTCTCTCTCTCTCTCTCTCTCTCTCTTTTGCTCTCCTCGGGTGTACAGGGTTGCGACGGTGCAATATTGATTTCACGTTGTGGGTTTATGAATAAAATAAGCGGTTTATCCAACGGTGGTGTGTATAGGGTGGCGTACGATGTTACAGAGGGTGCGGGGCACGCGGGTGAGTGGCGGCGGTCCCACGGGATCACGCAAAGTAACGTTGCCCATAGTGAGTAGATAGCCAGGTATACTTATACGCTCAGTCCAACGGATATCTTACTATTTTCTTCCCTCTCTCTCTCTCTTTCTCACTAGATCGATAGTCGTTAAAAATTTTCGAACAACCGCATTCGTTTCTAGTTATGTAGTTCTCATGACTGTTGAGAAAGTGGGAACATGTTAACAGCAGAAGTAATATTTTGATAACTTTACGTTCACTGGGAGAAAAATGTTTGGTATTTGTAATCACATAATCATATAGAGAAATAATTACTATAAATTATGATCAAAACAACTATTTTTTAGTCAATTGTACTATAATTTTAATAATATGATAATCTTATATGCATGTTACTATTACTATTTCCGTGTTAGAATAACCAAAAATATGAAAAATATGGCTTAAATTCAATTTGATTCCAATCATATTTTTTTGGTTGTTCCAACACGAACATAGTAGTAGTAAAATGCATATAACATTATTACCACCAACAATTATAATACAATTGCCTTAAAAAAATAATTGTCTTGACCATTATTTATAATAATTATTTCTCTGTATGATTATAGTTACAAATATATTTTCTCTCAGTGTTTGCGTCAGTAAAGAGGGTTATTTGCTTACATATAATACGCAAAATTAAGAATAATGATGTTATAAATTTATATAATGATATTAAGTTTATATATTGATGTTAAATTTATATAAATAATTTATTATATATACATATAATAGCTATTGATTGCGCATTAGATGCATGTAGACAATCGTATTTACTGACGCATACACGATATAAAGCTATCAAAATATTATTTCTTTTTTTAACACGTTTACACTTTCTAGATTAATGGACAATTACAAGAACCGCGCAGCTCAAAATGAACGTGACTGACAGAAGAAACTTTTAATAGTTATCAAACTACGATGATAAGACGTTCACGAAACTAACAAGTAAACCTATCCAAAGGTTACGCTCCAATTTCTTTTTAATTTGGCACAAATGTAGAAGTACAAAAAATATTTAGATAATATTTTTTCATTTTGCTCTACTTTGAGTTTCGCAGACAGTTTATAGCTTTTTAATGTTCTTCTATCATCAACAAGTGCAACAAAAATGCATAAGAAATAAAATTCAATACAAGATATAGGCGTTTTTGGTTTGCTAATTATGAATATAAGATCAAATATGTAAAATTATTTGTATAAATAATAAAATGTTTAAACAAAACATGTAAAAAGTTGAAAAAAAAATTATTTTTACAAATTTCTCGATTTGGCCGAGATTCGAACCATTTTTGATAAATGTTAAATTTATGCACAGATAATTTAGCACATATTTGAACTATTCGGTTTGAATCTCAGCTAAAGGAATTTAGAATGATTCGTGTCTCAGCTATTCCGATTTTGTTAAAATTTTAATAAAAATTTCCGGATTTCTTTCTCTCCCGATTTGATTGCGATTCAAACTATTTTTGAGTAATTTAGCTATTTTTAGTAATTTAGATTTGAAATATTTCGGTTGGAATCTCGGCTAAAGAAATTTAGAATGATTCCTATCTCAGCTATGCCGATTTTATTAAAATTATTTAACTATATCTTGTATTATTTTATTTCTTGTGCAATTTTTCTTGCACTTGTTGATAATAGGAATAAGAACATTAAAAAACTATAAACTATCCATGAAATTCAAAGTGGACCAAAATAAAAAATATGACCTAAATTTTTTTTATACTTCTATATTTGTGCCAAATTAGAAAGAAATCCGAATGTACCTTTTGGATAGGTATACTTGTAAGTGTGTGCACTCTTTATTAAGAAAGACTGACGTCACCTAGCAAGATTCGGATTCACGTATATCTCTTGCGCTATTTTGTCTTCCTTTTTTTTATGATTGCATCGTATTTTTAATCTCCGTTCAATAAATTCAACATTCGCTTAATTTTATTATTACTTGAGCGAGTCGATATTATTAGCAAGTATAAGGCTAGTATTCATAGCCGAATTTTATATTTAAAACCGTTGTAAGTTCATCTTCAGATATTCCGTAGTCAGTGAAATGATTCATATAGCATCTGAAGATAAACTTAAAACGGTTTTAAATATAAAATTCGACTATGATATCGGCCTAAAAAATTTCGGCACGATATAACAAGCACCAAGCACCAGCCACATATACTGCGAGAAGAAACTGCGAGGAGCTTACTTATTAATAATGTACTTACGATACGCCTAGACGATCGCATATCGATATTTTCAACACTCCCGACACTTATTTTCGCGCAAGACTTATTTTCGATAGACAAAACACTTATGATACGCGGTGCGATGTTGATCGATGTGTCCACGGTGGTTACTCGATTCAAAAAGATCGAAAATCAAGATGGACGCGCGATCGATGAAATACGCTGATAATGCGCGCCAATATGTAAACGGTGCTGTGGCTGACAAAGACGCACTCTATGAGGCACCCCTCTCTCTTTCTCTCTCTCTCTTACTAACAGGCTAACGCACCGTGCGAAATTCGGCTTCACGTATGCCACCCGCGTCATATTATCTTTCTCTTTTCCTCCGATTATTATCGCGTTTCTAATTCCCATTCAATAAATCCGCCGGTCGTCCGATTCTGCTACGTAAGCGAGTCGATGTTATTAGCAAGTATAAGAGACTTCGATTTGACACGTTACGACAAATATCAGCTGTATGTTTCGAGAAACGAGATTACTCCGTAATAAAGTATTTACGATACATTCTGACAATCGCACATCGCTACTTTCGACGCTCCCGACACTTATTTTCGCGTGAGACTCACCTTCGTCGGATTAAAGACGCGTAAAACGCGGAGGGATGTCGATCGATGTATCTACGGTGGTTGCTCGATTCAGAAA